GTGCAATAAGTTTCAACAAATTGCATGCATTTCTTTATCTTCTGTCTTTTTAAATAACTTTACCTCTTGTTGAGCTCCTCACCAACAGTATAATCTACAGTATCAAGCAAAAAGCCTGAAAACAGATATGCTGAGAGCAAGAACTTAAAAGAGACGGTGGAAAATTGCATTCTGTTACTGACAGTAAACAGATAAATGAAAAAATATGGCAAACTGCAATCCACTTAGAAAAGAAAATGTGTTAATTTCAGCTGCATACACACAGAGAGACAGAGAGATATCTATACCAGTTGTTGGCTTTGCGTGAGAAGGCTTCATCCCACAGATTTTGACTTGCATATCTTTTTCATCTAGCAAAAGCTTGCAGCATTTTCTTCCAGGCTGTATGGGAGCATTACATGCAGTTTCCTTTATCTGGGAAGCTGAGGTTGCTGTTCATCAGGCTAAGAACTGTTTCCTATCATAATCCTCTCACTCTTCATGCATAATCCTCAACTAGGCTTTAACATTTCTTGATTTATGGGATGTTTTCAGTTCCTCTTGACAGGCTGTGTTTTTCGTGCCAGAAGAAATAATCCCACAATAATTGGAGTTTAATTTGGGTCAGCTGAGGTCAAGGCCAGTTCATAGCAACTGTGCTTGCATTCAGTGCATTTTTGTTCATTTTCAGGTTTTTTACACATTTAGTTTTCTTTTTTTGTATTGGAAGTATAATCTTTTTGCAATCAGATTTGCAGCCCTTACTCAAGTCACCAGGTCCGGTGACTTCAATGGACTGTTTTTGTCTGAGTCACTGACTTGACCCTTTGATTGCTGTTTTCTAATCTAATGTATATATTAAGGAAATGTGAGTACAAAAGACTCTTTCAATAGAAGACACAAGTAGAAGTAGCCACTGATGTTGATGGTTGATTGATTGGTCCTTGCTGCCTTTTTGTTTCCTCCCCCATTTTTGAAGAGCTGCATTTTGAAAAAAAAAAAGATACCAAACAATGCGGCACGTTTTCTCAGCAAAACATCTTTGGTACCACAGGCTGTATTTACCCTGTGGTAAACAGCAGGCTTGAGAGCACACTGAGCCCCACGTACCTGCATTTTTTTGTCGAGGCTGCTTATCGTAACTCCAGCTATGGCTCAGACTCAGAGCATTCACCCTGCTCTTTGAAGCAGCTCAGCGGGGTAGCTACCGAGGGACTGCTCAGCCCCAAGCCATCCTGGGCCGATATTTATGTGCCCATTGGTGCTCAGATACTTCCCCCCAAGAGAAGTCCTGAGCTCAGGCTGCAGTCACCTCTTAGCACGGACCTGAGTGTTATAGTGTGGCTGGCTTTAAGAGTGAACGCGGACCTGCCTTTAAATGACAAAATACACGTCCCCCGAGTCCTCCCGTCACTCTTAGCTCTGGCTGTTACCCACCCCAGAAGGAACACAATTTGTTTGGTCACAAGTATGGCGGAGAACTTGATCGGTGCCTTTCTGTTTATCACTTGCTTGATCTCCAGCTGTGGAAGTCTGTTGTGATTTACTAGACTAGTAGCAACGGATTCTGTCAGCTGCTTCAATACCATATGAAGGTACTGTGGGATTTCTCCTCAGATCAGGAAAGTGAAATTCCAATTAGATTAGCTTCTGTTTTCTTTGACGGTGCCTATGATGTTTATCTTCAGATAAAATGGGGGGTTTGGGAGCCCTTACTGCTATTTAACGTTGAGAAATTTTGGAAGTGACATATATTACTTGCCTTAAATGGAGTTTAGTTTTATTGCATATGTGGCATTTGAGTTTCAAGTACGGAACTTTGAAGCATGTTTATTTTACTAAGATCGGGATATTTTTCTTAATCACGATGAACTCTTTGTATGGATGTAATATGTCAAGAAACTTCAAAGAAATGCAAGAATTAATGCTGTCCTGTTGTAACATTTCCAAGTAATAAGGATTTCTTGTAGATGATTGTCCTTTCTTGTACATTGTTGTTATATCGAATTATTCCAGCTAAAATACCCATTGCTTCCACGGAAAAACACACTGTTTTTTAGTTTTTGTGCTGGCATCATCTGTGTTGTCTGATGAGCACACTGAGCCTTAACTTCTGGTGGTGTAACAGGATGAAATAGCAGCCATTTAAACCAACTAGACATATAAATGGATTAGAGGTTTTGGCCTTCTCTCCATAGGGTTTCTTGCAGCTATACCATTTTGGTGAGGTTATTTAGAATGCTCTTCTGTGCAGACTATTTGCTGTATATGGTTGCTGCTGTTTAGATGACTGAATGTGGCATGGTGACAACAAATACTTCATTTCATCTTCTTAGGGCCTGGCGTGGAAAAGTGCATGTGGCTTTTAGGTCTGGTCCAATTAAGCGTATGTTCCACATTAAGACCCTGAATAGTCTTGGGCACTTCACCATGAGTCGAAGGTGCTCTGCGTGCTCTGGGACCAGCAGAGACTGTCCTTCTTTGGGGTTCCATGAAAGACACTTGCTTGTTGTCATCTGTTGTAGAAGTCCAGGAACACGTAGGCTTCTTTACGCCATAGCAATGTTCAGGTTCATTTTGTGAAAGTAAGAAGTCATTCTGTACAGATGCAGAAGGATTATGCCTGCAGGGAGAGGTTTGCTTACAAACAGAGGCTTCTGAATCAGTCAGGGTTGGTAAAGCAATGGGAATGCATTCAAAGGAACCGTGTATTGCGGGTGGATGCAACAAATGCAGAGCAGCCTATAGGATCCCCACAGACAGCAAGAGCATACAGACCCCTTGGCCTTAACGCTTTACAGTATTCCATGGTGGCATGAATGACAGGTAAGAACAAAGCATATGCAGAGGTTCAAGGGTGGCCAGAAGCCAAGCATAGTCCTCCCTGTGGCATGGCAGGATACCCCAACCCCTTGTTTGCCTATTTCTTTTATCCAAATATCACAGGGCTCCAAAGGAAGAGATTATAGTGAACAGAGGACCTTAGATAAAGGAGGTTAAGAAGATCAAGCCCTAAGTGTAGATACAAACACATATGTATATACTGTAAATCTAAATAGTAATAAAAGTCACTCAGCATGAAGGATATTACTAGTGCCTACCATTGATCATCAAGTACTCATCACTGAGCAGCCATATCACCTCAGAAGTGCAGTAACTGTTATCAAAATAATTTGTGCAGCTAATTAATTTATAAGAAATGCACCTTTGGGACTGTGCCATAGTCTCTCTTTTGTAATACAAATGTTCAAGCATTTTTCATGGCTACTGATTCAGATCTACAACACTGAAATGTCAGGATATCTTTTTTTCCCTAGATGAGGACATATACTTAGACCTGGCTAATCTGTGCTTAGTTTATCTACCCAAGAGACTTTAGTAGTCACCAGCCTTAACGCATGTACAGTATATACTATTCACTGACTTAGTTGTAGGTTTTAATCCAAATGAAATTGGAATTTGCGAAATTACTTGGACTAACGGCATCTGCCTCAGATATCCTGCAGATGTGACATTAAATGATTCATGATTTTAAGCAGGAAAGGTTGAATTTTATGTAAATAACAGTGGATGAATTCCTTGATCTTTTTACAAGAAGATTTTTTTTAAATTAAAAGATTGTCAAAGCAATAGGTTTTTTAACTCTCCTAAATTTTCTGGAGGGTCATGGGTTCATGGTCAAAGCTATATTAAGAACATCTCCTGCAATATGCCTTGCCTTTACATAATCCGCTTAATGCTTAGTATGTCAGAAAGAAATGTTTCTTTTTCACAGTGATAGCAACGTTTCCCTCCCCCATTCAGAGAGAATCCTCAAACTAAAGAATAAAATCTCCTGGCACAATAGAAATACAAGCAACGCCTGAAGAATATGGACTTGTTAAGATAACAATAGAAGTTTGGCTGGCGCAGACCTAACATGCCTCTCATTCCGTTATCTTTTTTTTTAGCATTTACATCACATATTTGAAGTCATTGTGTTTGAAACTAGAGAATTACTCTGATTTTCATGTCTTAAAAAGGCCTGGTAGGTCTGATCACTATCATAATTATAATTGTTACATTAGCTTATGTGCTGTGCACAGAGGGCTGGGAAGGCATGTAACCATAGATAGACTTGTCAGAATGCATTCAGAAAAGCATTTGGATGATCTTATGTCTAGTCTGTCTCGAAAACTGGAGAACAATGTCTCTCACCCAATAATGTTAGCCTGAAAATTTGGCTTCTTTAATGTTTCTCACAAAGCTGCCATTTGCCTTCAATAAGGCCAAGACTCCATTTCCAGCGTTACTGGTTGCCATGCTGTAAATTGTTCTTAAGGTTAATTAACAAACTGGGAAAGTCACTTTAGGCTGTTTGCCCTCACCTCACTAAAGCTACATAGAGGAAAAACACTAAGATTTGGAGCATCCAAGGCTCCGTTGTTCTTTCAAAAGGCTATGGTTTTCCTCAGCGGGGAAAAGTGGGATTCAGCTGGGGCTATTTCTTCAAGTAATTCCTCTGCCTCTGCCTGCTGTCTGGCTCTATTGCTTTTAGTAGTCTGCAAGTATGCCTGCACTTTCAGGAGCGTTTGCTACTTTGGCAAACCAAGCTGCCTTTCAAATGGGGTGCTGGAGCATGGAGCGAGTAACCCACAG